GTGCTTCTCTCGAAGAAAATCACTTTCCTTCCCATAGCATGCAGCGTGTACGCGGTATGCTATGCATATATGTATGTAACTACGTACACTGTGTGTACACGCAGCCACGTACATACATCTAGCTGCTCGTTCGCGCATATACGAGGGAGCGAGCGAGCGCGCGTGCACCGATTCCTTCCTTCCTCCCGCGGTCGCGGCTCTTCCTGGTTTCTCAGCTCGTTACGAACGAACCGACAAATTATCGAGGCTGGCTGCACGAGCCGCGCGGACGCGCGACCGTGCATGACGCAAGAGAGCAGAAGGAAAGACGAAAGAGGAACGACAGCATGAAATCTCGGATGCGCCAGTAACGCAGGCTTCTTCTTCGTACTTTCACTTCCTTTCCCCCTCGAGCTCTCTCTCTCTCTCTCTCTCTCTCTCTCTCTCTCTCTTTCTCCGCTTCTCTTTTTCCGCCTCTTTCTATCACCTTCGCCGACTGTTGGCCTCCTCCACACGGCCATTCTTTCTCTCTCCCTGGGCTCTCCCTGAACTCTCCCTCGGACATAGAACTACTTTTCCTTTCAAGCCCTTGACTCGGGAGATACCCGACCATGCCCATCACGAATCCTTGCATCTCGTCGCGTGTCCACGTTTCAAGCTCTCTCCTCTCTCTCTCTCTCTCTCTCTCTCTCTCTCTCTCTCTCTCTCTCTCTCTCTGTCTGGTTCTTTTTTTTTTCTTTTTCTGTTTGTCTTTTTTTCTCTCGTCGCATCTCACTTATCCCCGCGAACGCGTGGGATAAATAGTCGCGTCCAGCCGTGGCTATTGCCGCTCGATCACTGAACGAGCCGCGGAGCAGGGAGAAGAACCAAGCGGAGGAAGAATGAAAGAGGGAACGCGCGCGCCGTGACCTCTCTGCCGCGTGACGCTTGGGCCACCGCTCCGCGGAGAGGAGCGGCGCAGTCTGCGTGGAGCGTGCTGCCTAGGCGAGCAAGGGTGAGAACGGCCGAGAGACACCGGAGAAACAGGAGGGAAGGAGAGAGAGAGAGAGAGAGAGAGAGAGAGAGAAAGAGAGACAACGTTGGTGGTAGCAATGATAGCGAGTGAATAAAAACGTTACACGGGAAGAAGAGGAAGAACTAGCGGGCTGTGGAGCAGACATGGAAGAAACCTAAGAGAGAAGGCGGGCCTGGATATTTGGAGCGTGTAGCGACGCTTCTCTGAGCGTGATCAACGCGTCGACGTTAGGATCGACAACAACAACAACAACAACAACAACAACAACAAGAACAACGAGAACAGAATCACCGATAAAGAGAAGCTGAAAAAGACGAAGAGAATAATGAAAAGGAGAAAAAGACGAGGAGGAGATATGGTGTAGAGGATGATGCGTGTTGAAGAAGGAGATGCAGAAAGGAGCAAACAAGAAGGCGAGGAGGGCCCGATGATAGAGACACGGCGGTCCGTGGCGATGGAACGAGCGTGAAGGAACATGCAGAGGAAGAGACTGAAGGAAGGCTGTGCAGAAAGCGGTTGGTGGGTAGGAGAGCGGGTCGGTGGGACGAACGTGAGGGGGAGCAGGGGGAGTCGAGTCGAGATGATGCAGTTGTGCGTTTGCAAGGAAGGCGGAAGGAGGAACCGCGGAGGGAACCGGTCCCGGTCACTGGGCCACCAGCCGGCCGTCGAACCCGCCACACTGCCCCCTACCACCCTCTACCCCTCCACCTTTTCCTCTCCTTGTCTCTGTCCTTTCCTCCTCTTCGTCCCGTGTTTCGCTCGAGTCATCTCTGTTTCGCTTCCTTCGGCCTCCCTGCGCACAAATGCCTCCCCCGTCCCTCTCTGTCGCCCTGGCCATCTCCTCCTCTTCTTCCTCCTCCTCCTCCTCCTCCTCTTCCTCTTTCTCTTCCCCCTTCGGAAAGCTTCCCCCCATCGCGAAACCTTCCACGACATTCGCGACTCTTCGCGATGACAACGAAGACGACAACGACAACAACAACGAAGACGACGACGACGACGACGACGAAGACGAAGACGAAGACGAAGACGACCACGACGACCACGACTCTACTCCGATGCCTTGGCGTTCCTCAAACAGTGTCGACCGGCATGCAGCGACGATAATGCCACCGGTGCCACCATGTTTACCGGCCCGAGGCTATATGCTAGCCGGAGGAGCCGTCTTTCCGCCGTGATCGACGTTTTCGCGTATCTCCTCGTCCCTCGCGGCCGATCGCACGCTTCAACAGTGAGAATGAACACGGATCGGACGGACGAAGCGTCGATCCTGTCCCCGGATGAGCTTGCTCTTCGCTTCACTTCACATTGCCAATGATTATCTTGTTGATTCTCAGTGGGAAGCCCCTTTGAGTCAGCCTCTTCCTCCTACGTATTGTTCATTCTCGTCCATAAGTCACCAAAAATTCGTTCAATTCGCTCACTGGGCAAATTTACTAATTGCAAGTGAGTTTGCTTTTCCATTCGTTCTCCGAGCCATGAAAAATTAATAAACATTGGAAGACACGAGGTACCAATGCGATTCGACGCGCGAGACAACCTGGGGATAATCTGTTAATCCGGCCGAGAGAAGGGAAACGCGTCGAGGTGCATACACCGGCCGATATATCGAGGCGGTGAAAAGGAACGGAGACACGAGTACTCAGGCGAGCACGGTCGTTCGCGTGGAAAGAATGGAAGAATTAGTTTTGGATCGGGCTTTCGATCGTGAGAGAGCAGGCGAGCAGGTAGCGCAAACGGAAGCTTGACTCGTACACGGTAATCTCGCCGAGATACGCCAAACATTTTCTCTTAATTAAGAAAGGACGTGGCCGTAATTAAGTTTCCCTTCCACGTTATTCTCCTGCTCGTTTCAGACCGTGCCGCGTGTTACGCCGGCCGCGCCGTCAAAACAGAGTGTTCAGTCGCTCCGAACGACGACTTCTGCTTTCAATTAGTCAATCGTTGACTCGTCAAAGTCGCACCTGTAAAGCTCCGTTCACCGATTCGACTGGGAAAACGTGTCTACTCGCTCGAATATTATCAATTATTATTGTCGCACGAGTTGCACGAACTTGCCCAAAAATTTCCAGTTCCACGAAAAGTTTACGATTTCTATCGCGAACGTCACGTGTTTTCAAGCTTCCTCAAAGATAACGCTTAATTCAGCAATCAAACCAGACTGGTATTACCGTTCCGTGTCGTCGATACACGGTCTTGTACTTCTTGTCCGTTTTATCAGCACTGGCCGATCAACTTCTCGATAAGAAAGAGACTCATTCGAACAATGCCGGCACGCGTTATCGCGACTGTCTAGCATTTTCACGCGTGAGCATGACGCGCTCTGTCACGAGGTGGGGTAATCGACAGTCTGGAAAGTTCGATGATTCCTGTCCGGTTCGCGCCCGCCTAGATTGCATTCCGTAGATAGGACACATATAGGCGACAGCCAATGGGAACGATTATCGGCACATGTCGCGTGATTTTCGATTTTTCGGATCAATTCCGTTTGAAAGTCGTTCGACTCTGATAGAACCATTGCCAAATGTATCTGTTTTTGTGACGTAAATGCGAAATACGAGTTGTGCGATTGTTTTTTTATTGGGCAAGTTACGGGAAAAATACGTAGTGGTTCGGAGTGTTACTTTATTTCTATACGTTTGTAATTTGACTTCTGTAATTCTCGGAGAATTCTCGTCAGATAGCTATCACACCGTTCGCTGGTAACGGTGAGTTTGTTACCTTACCTGCCGTTGGTATCCAACATCGATCGCAGGTAAAATCAACCGTCGGTACGTTATTAGCCTTCGATCCTTGCGTATTTGAAAATTCCTTTCTTACCTACTGCAAGTAACACATCTCGTAACACGTAATTTCTAAAATACGTTTATTTAAAACAAAATGCCTATAAAAAAAGAAAAGAATACTTGCAAAAGAGGACGCTGCGTACAAATTTGCAAAGCTCGATTACAAAAAACAGTCAATTTCAATTGACACACTTCGGAACGTTCGGCCTGCAAACGGGTTCGACGATGGTCACGTTCTCTCCGCACGGTGGACAGGGAGTGCAAGAAGTAGGTGGACAAGCAGGAGGACAACACGTGGTATCACAGGGTTGAGTAGACGGAGGGCAACAGGAGCAGCTAGGCGGTAGGCATATCTCGACATCGCACGGAGCACGACACGGTGGATGGCACGGTTGACAGGGTTGAAGGCAGACGGGTTTGCAGTCCATCTCGCAAACGTATTGCATCTCAAAGGGTAGATCGTTTCGCACAGTGAGGCACTTTCCTTGGATTAGGTAGCAGTAGGCCAGGGCGAGCACGGGGTTACCGCTGTAGGGTAGGTGGTGAGGATCGGGCAAATGTGCGAATATGTCGATGTGCGTGTATTTTAAGGGGGAACAGCTACAGGCTCCGTGCTGCAATCGATACGAAGGGGATGAGAAAGGGTGGCCGAGAACGAGGCGGGCCGAATGGAGGTAGGCCAGCAGCTAAATGAGGCTTTAAACGTCATTGTAATGGAAAAGCTTTTTAATCTGCCATTAATGGCTGCACGCGGTACTTGTGTTAAGCTGATCGCCTATAAAAAATTCATCCCGTCATTCTGAAGAAGAAAGTGTGTATGAAACTATGCTGGCTGCAATGAATATCGGTTTAAAAACGCTGTAAACACGACGCGCGTCGAAATACGTGATTACGATAATCCTTTTGATAATCCTGCTTAAATATAGGACCTTTGCACGAGAAAATGAAGTTGGACGAAAATGATTGTATCTGGAAAAAGAGAACAATCAGGTTTATCGGTTGTTTATTCCCACAATTGGAGAGGGAATAAACAGCTAATTGTATCGATAAGAATAAATAGTATCGTCGACGAGCTGATTTAACTGGAAGCCTGGAAAATGAAATTCAAATACAAATTTCGTCGGGCTTTCGTCTGACTCGCTTCCTCGCGAAGAAGGAACCATCCCGAAAGAGGAACTGTTTGGTCAATGTCAAAGATCGAGTAACTAGAAGTTGCGAATCTTTTATCCCTAAAAAACGAGATAAATCCACTTGATAGATTGGAAAATATAATATTGACCTTGTCCAAGCCAGAAGCCATAATTAAAAATGCGGACGGATTTTGGTGCCCTCTGTTCACCGTTTTGCTGCCCTCGGGCGGTGCATGGTAAATGTCGTCACCTTCTGTTCGACCTTGGTGGAAATGGAAATCCTCTCTTCGTATTCTCGATATTTCGAACGGATCGCCCATTGTCTCGCCGGAAGCCTGAAGCTTCTCGGCGTTGCTGACTAAACGCGCCACCGCGTTGTCCATGGCGATCTGTCGCAAAGTAACGTAATAATTCATTGTTTTCATCACAACAAACAAGAAAAAAAAAGAATGTAACAATTCATTTCGTTACAAAACAAATTTTCGAGGTCGTCAATTTTGGATAGATACTCACCGAGTATCCGGGACCAACGGCGAGTATCGCATGAGCAGTCAGGGTCGCTACGGTGAAAAGATGCGGATTAACTGAACAGAGGGCCATTTCTTTCATGTGGTAGAGGGCATCGGCCATGATCAAGTGACCGTCTTCGTCCGTATTCGTGACACGTACCCTGGCGCCGGATTTCGCGGTGATCACCTCGTCGGCGACGTAAGAATTCTCACCGATGCTGTTCCGTACCACGCACAGAGCCGCCACAGCCTTCACCGTCGGTGGTTGCAGTAGATTCACCACCTGTCGACGTCCAACACTTTCTTCGACAACCATTCCCAAACTCACGTCGGTGCGAATCTTTTGCCGATCGATCGGACCGCGCGTCCTTTTCTCTTTTTTAATCTGCTTCAGTCTCGATTAAACATTAGCGCGAATTACACGGTGCAATCGTATCACCGATTACCCCGATCGCCGAAGCGTGCTCATAATCACAGCGATCAAATTGCCTGGTTAATCGTCGTAAAATGAAACGCTCGACGTTAAATCCCTCGTATAGATTGCGCGCGACACTATCTACAATTTTGCCAGCCGTCAACGGCAAATCCGATAACAACGTTCGAACGCTATTGGGAGGAGGGAGGAGGGGGTGGAGAGGATTCGCAGCGAAACGAAAGGGTAAAGAAAGGGCTTTTTGAACTTTTGTTATCGAACGTTCCGCTTGCAGTTGATATCGTTTCGTGTGTACCTGCATGAATCCGGCGCACGCCGCTGCTCCGCATTTGTCCCTCGACATACCGAACATCTTGCCTTCGACCTTGAGGTCGGTGCCACCGGTGTCGTAAGTCACGCCCTTCGCCACGAGCATGACCGTCTCGAGGATGCAGGCTGGATTAGGCGGCTCGTAGGTCAGAAAGATAATCCTGCCCGCGTGCCGAGGGATCATCGAGGCAGCGCGGTTCACGCACGCGAACAGGGGATACTCTTGAAGCAGGGTCTCCTGGTCGGACACCACCTGCATCGTCACGTTCGTCCCGTAAAACAACTCGGCCAGGTACTCTTCGACTCTCGGTGGTGTCATTCTTTCGGGATCTGCGCCGCCTGCGAGGGAAATGGCATCTAAATCGGTGCAAGTGATTCGAGATTCCGAGACGTTATTGGCAGTGTTATTGGAGCGGTTTTATCGGCGCTAGAAACGGGCGCAAGATTTACAGCGTGTTCAATAACAACGTGGACGCCATTTCTCTGAGAAAGAATATTCTGTTTGTAAAAAATTTTGCACGGATCGAAATTACAGTTAAAATACTGTTTGCATACTGCAAAGTCTTTTACATTGAAAAGAATATTCTTCTCAGTGAAATGGGATCCACGTTCTCGTTAAATACACTGTAATTGTTCGACGAATTAGAACAAAGTGGCTCCAAAGGGAGTAACTTTGGATGGTAATTTTTTTTTTTTTTTTTTTTTTTTGAGCTCTCCTGTCATGGAGTACCAGTGAGAGTGAATTGTTGTTGGTAGAGTGCAGGAGCGAGTTAACGACACGATGAAAAGCGCCAACGTGCTTCCTTGCCAACGAGTTGGGCAAACACCAGTTCCCGCCATTCTGGCGAGTGCAAAGTTGAATTATGGTTACTGGGAGTATTGTCTCTCAACTTTCTCGAGATTTCACGCGGTCAGTCATTTATTGCGCTGCTCCCTCCGAAGCTTTTACTTCGGGGGGATTTCATTGAACGAGGGCTGAGAAGGGAGGTAGAAATAGAAGATTGGTGCATTTTACGAAATAGAAACGACGCAGGTCGCTTCTGCACGCTTCGGAACTCTCTCAACGACGCGAGTAGATTCTTAGCTGGGTCGTACGTTCCGCTGGGATAAGAAAAATGGTGGAACGAGAGAAAGAGAGAGGGACTAACGAGCCACGAGATATCAGGTTAAATTTAAATCTGCGAGGTACCTCGTTTCCCTCTTTCACGTTGTTGCACAAAGGGTTGTTGATATCGCGTTAAAAGTAACATTAAAAACGCTTAATTTACGAGATAACTCGCTCGTTAAACATCATCAGAAAATACGCGCGTTCCTCTTTTTCATTCGCGACCACGAACGATCCTTCCTACCTCTCAACGCTCGGCGCATACTCCGTGCGTTATTATTTCAGTCGAAAGGATCAGGCTTTTTTTGTTACCTCTGATATTATTTCGCGTTAACAGAGACGCGAAGAAACAGGAGATTACCGGGAATCGCGGGGTTTTTTTTTTCCCTCTTGTTTTCGGGTCCCATCGTTATCCAACAGTAAGAAATTAATACGACTCCCACGGGGAGTTGGAAGCGAACGGTCAGCAAACGGTTGGCGAACAGAGGCGGATAGAAAAGTTCCGGGGCGAATAATTAAAGGGAGAAACTGAAAACGGCGGAGTAATTGTTTCTCGGGGTACTCGGGGTAGAAATACGGCCTGGTATTTTAAACTTCGGGGCAGAGTGCATCAGCATACTCCGTGTCCGTCGCGCGGAAAACGTATATACGCAATTTTTTTCTCGCTTAATTAAACGCTCGAGATTCTTGGACGAGAACGGACAAGTGGAACAGCCTGAAATTTACATTCCTCCGACCGCGAGGAACGCGGATATAAAATGTTTGAATCGCCGTGTCGACGCGACCGAGGAAAAAGAGCGTTCAAGGAATGGCCTCTGAAAATTAGTCCGTCCGTTTTGCAACGCGCTTGGGTAAACGAGAGAACGATCCACGAGGAGGTTCATCCATGGGCGAAGCAGCGAGTTCCGATGAGATCATTGAAAGATCCGATTCGAAATCGGCCCCTTTAAAGCAAACGGTCCCTCCGTTAATGTCTAAAATGTTTGAATATTAAAATGGCCCTCCCGGGAGGGGTTCTGGCTAAAAGGCACGAACACGAGGATTCACGCTCGAGCGGCTACGACTACGAAACGAGTTGGCAGCCGCGAGCGATCTTTCCTTCTTCCTCCACGTCCTATTTCTCCACCCCCCTCTCCCCCCTTCCCACAAGGAGGAGAAGTCCGCGAGGACGGAAGTCGGGGCCATTCTTCGGCAAAGTCCGCTCGATAAAGCAGCAGATATCTGTCTCTCTCGGCCGAAGGAACGAGACTTACCGATGTCCCTTGCGACGTATCTTCCACTCTCGAGCGCCGCGGCTAGCTTCACGATACCCTGAAGCTTCTTACTGCAAATCGGACTCCAGACTGCCAGCTGACACGCCTTGTAGCATCGGTCCGGACATATCTCTCGCACCTCTAGCGGCTGCACAAAACCGAAAAGAGGGATTTCGTCGTTACAGACTTTTGAATAAGTCTTTTCGAAAGGTTGACTTATTCAAAAAAGAAGTTTCCTTATTATCGAACGCGATGGAAGTTTTGGTTTCAGCGATGAACGGAATGAACGCCGTTGATATTGACGTGGAATTATCGGTAGATTTCTCTGTGCGAAAGGTCAGGGATACGAGCGAATCGATGACCAATTCGCGTGAGTCACACTTTGATATGATAATTTTGTTCTATTCCGCAGTATAGACGCGACGTAGAAGAAAAAAAAAAAAAAAAGAAACAAAAATAGGTCGTGGACGTCGTATTCGATCGAACGATGACCTAATAAACCAATTGCCTCGAATCTCCGAGCTTCTGTCGTTATGAATTTACGTACGTCGTACGTATCCATTGTATTCAGATAAAATGGAAGAAACGAACACGGAGACGCAAGAACCAGCTGGTAGAAAAAATCCAGACGTTTTTAACCACTTGTGCTGGCAACTGATTGCGGACCATAACGAGTGACCAAACCGTATACGATAATTCGCCGCTTTCTTTTTGAACTCGTCAGTGTAATATGATATCACTGGATAGAAATTATTGAGAAGTAACAAATTTATTATTTGTTCTGCCTGGGTTATACTTAAATATACCTGAAACTGAGAAAATATTGTAATTCTCGGACAAGCAATTTTCGACATGCGTGGCACGTCATTCCAACGCAAGAGGTTAAGGTGAAACGTATCTCGTCTGAAAAAAAATCGATACGGAATTCGAAACTCTAGAACGTGATTGCGTGCACTTCCTATTCCCCTAGTCCCTTTACGCCACTCTCTTGCTTAACGTCGCAGAAAAGCGACACAGCAGCCGCCACATTTTCGCGAAAAATATCATCCCCTTCAAACATGCATCGACCGTAAATTATTATCAACAAGACTGATAAGACCGCGTCGCGCTTCTCCCGATCCATTTCTCGAGTTTCTCTTTAACCACGCAAATTTCTCTCGTAAAAAGTAAACTGATCCTACGAGACGTCCGACATCCGTCGGATCACTCGAGGTCAACGTTCGCGCTAGGGCAGCCAAGAGCAGCGGCGACGAAGAAATTGACGGAGCGTTGTGTCGCGCCAGTTGCAGCGCGAATATTTCACGAGCCGCGGAGGAGGAACGAGTTTCTCGCCGAAACGTGGAGCGACGTCGCGCGAGTTCGGTTTCTAACGCAGCTTCTTAGTCGGCTTTATGCCCCTGGCGTAGAAAATATTAAAGCGGATAATCCTCTTAGTGGATCGCTCGGTTCATAAGCGGCCGGCCACGGAAGAAGACGTATGTTTCATTCGAAAGTCCTCGAATTAATCCCCTTAACGTTTCGCCTCTCGACCCATTGAGAGCTTGTGTTTTTCTTCCCTCGTCTTTCTTTCCTGCCCTCGTTTCCTTTCTCTCTCTTTCTTTCTACTCCTAACTCGCTCTCCCCTTAAAAAAAAGAAAAAGAAAAAATCGCGATGTTCAATGTTACTTTTAATCCTCGGACTCTCTCTTTTTCTCTCTCTCTCTCTCTCTTTCTCTCTCCCGAACAGCGAATAGCTGTTTCTTTCATTTACGAGACGAGGCAAGTTTCAGCAGGGAAGATGGGTTCCTCGTCTTCGTTATCCGAACGCCCGGCATAGTTCCGCGTTAATGTATTCGCTGTTCGTATCGGAGCCGCTGGTCTACCTACCCGATAGCTATTATTTCGAAGTAGCTGAATAGTTTACGAGTATGTACATGCTGGCGATATCCTACGAGAGCTGGAAATCGAGGCAACGTTACGTAGCAGATTAGACTGCTAATACATCGCGTACATCGCTTCCATTTCTCCAACTTGTTGGCGAATGTGTAAACCTCTCCCCCACGCTCTTGGCGTCAGATTCGTTGGTTAATGTTTAATTTCCAATCTTTCGTCTCGGTCACGCTTGCTCTCCTTCCACCTCCGTGTTACTGCAAAGTGAAAATTGGAATTTCCCTGTTGCGTAGTTTCTCAATCATTTCTTTTCCAATTTTCCTCTCTTCTCCCCGTTAAGTTTTGCTAATCCGCCCGACGTTAAGTTGAGTTTAACGTTGAAAGTTTCCACCGGCCGCCTGCTTGTTTCTCACTTCTCTCGCAATATTTTCGCCCGAACGATGAAATTGATCGGGCCCGACGACACTCAAAGCGTAGATAATCGCTGTACGGGGCCGTAGCTCAAGATCGGCTACATTCCATCCAGTTCTCGAGAACAATTTCGCGAGACGGTCGGAAAGTCGGACGGGCGGGAAACCCCGGCCGGCGGCCGAACTTTCACCGTAATTTCTCGAAACGATATCGGCGCAATAACGGTGAAATTCCGAATGTTTAAAAGAGCCCTGGGGAATTTCAATCGAAGCATCTGAAATTCCGGGAGCACCGAAAGCCGAGTAATATTCGTACCTTCGGGGGCGGGAGAGGGGAGGGAGGCGGATAGAGGAGCTAAAGCTACCAAGCCGAAGCTATTTCAATCTTGTCGCGTGACCGTTTCCTTTACGTTTCGTTCGACGAAAGAACCAAACTTCTTTCTTAACAGAGTCGATTAAAAGTACGGATCAGAGTGCAACGAACAACTCGAAAACGACTCTCTGGGGTGAGAGTGGAGGAACAAAGAAGGGGAGGAAGAGCTTCCACGAGAAGAAGGACGAGGAAAGTCCTTCGGGTGATGGCACAGAGAGTGGAGGGGGTGTGCGAAAGTGTCGAGAGAGGATGAGGAACGGAAACGCCTCCGGGGCACGGAAGCGACGAAACGAAGAGGCGACGTTCACAACGGCGTTCCGATTACGCGGCGTCGGAATTCCGAGGGCGTCTTCCGGTATTTGGAAAACGATGCCCCGTATTCGCGAGGCCCGCCTTGACGGCGGTGGCTAAACGACGCGGAGGGAAGCGCCGGCCGACGAAAGAAGGAACGAGCCGCGCGTCGATGGCTCACACACACACACACACATACACACACAGAGAGGAGAGCCTCGGCCTCGAGTATTTCGCTAATTAGGTCGCCCCGCCGGCCGCCTCGATTTAGGAACGCCAGGCATCCACTACTCTTGGCAAGACGAAACTCCCTCTACCACGTCAACTCCCCCTTCAACGCGTCTTATACTGTTCTCTCCTAGCCTAGGTTGGAGAAGAAGGCGCCTTAGCGTGCTCCTTACTCGCTGTACCCTTACTCGGCTTAAAGCTGCAACGACGAAGCGGATACGAGTTCCGTGTCGGAGATAAGGGATGAAAGTCTCCCCCTTCCGCAGGATGATGGGGGAGGGAAGAGGAGAATGTTATTTCTCGAAGCAGGCAGCGTGTAACGTCGTCGGGGTGTAGGTGCTACGTTATTGATAAGGAGCTGATCTTCCCCGGTGCGGGTTCGTTCGCGGCTCGTTAGCAACGCGAGCAGCATGTTTGGAATTTGAAAGGAGCGGCTGCTAATTTTCTAATGCGATTAAACGGCATTAAGCGGGACCGATGTAGCAACGAGGAGTTCTAACGTGTAACTGTTTGCAGCGAGTAACCGAGCATATCCAGCGCGTTCGAGATTCGTGGTGGATAGGAAGGAAGCGTGCACGTGGCTACTTCAAACTCGAAACTTGAAAAATTCGTGTCAACGTCACTCGCGATTGGTGCACCTTTGAACATGTCTGTTATTCTCGAAGGACCATCTACATTTGGTGTGGGAAATGAAATGAATTTTTAACTTGGATCACTGAGTTTAATTTATAGAATCAGAACCTGCTGACTTCTATGATGACGTGATGGAGTCTTCTTCGGCTTCTTCCTATTTCTCAATTGTAACTGACACTTGAATTGCAGGTTTGCTAGAGTAAGATTTTCAATAAATAATATCCTGCGCCATTTTTTTTTTTTTTTTTTCTTAGAAGCAATGAAAAGTCTGGTTTATGTGAATTATTCCAATGAACGTCAATTTACTCTCCAGGATTGTCTTCAGAAATTTCTCCTTCTGAAATTCTTTTGTTCTTCTTACGTCGTTACTATAGCTTTCACTCTAGGAATCTGTTCAGACATTATACTATTATACATCGCATCGTACAACATCAAATGTACACGTTTATTATATAATTATCAGCAAATTATAAAAAGAAGTCCGAGCTGTTGGCTAGAGTTTAAGTGTCCCCTCAAAAGGGACAGTCGAATGCAGAAAGTTAAACTATGGGCCGGTATTTTATGAACCACGAAAGTCACGCGTCGATTGGATTTAAACATATTCGCGGGTCAGTGACCGACTGTGACAATAGTTTTGGCCTTGGGAAAGCGCCGGTGGACTTTAGGCCTTCTCAACGCAGAGAAAGAAGACGAATCGTTAGCCGTATGATAAATATACAAAAAGTCCTGACTTGTCCTCCATTCATAGAAAACGTCACTCGAAATCATCGACTGCTTATAGTCGTGTCAAAGCGTATATATGTATACGTTGGTTGTTTCTTGGAGTCAGTTTTTTTTAAATCACGCTCGATTTCGAGTTTCATTCCGTTCCTCGGATTCTATTTTACAATTATTTTTCATTGACGTAATTAAATTTGAAAGCTAGTTTATAGTTTCTTTCGCGAAACAGACGGTGGAGCGATAGAAATGTCTAGAGCGACGTCGCGCGTGTTTTATTCCCACATGGACGTTCGAAAATTTTTATCCGCGTATTAGATGTTCGAATCGGAGCCGCGTCAGGAGGAATTTAAACCCCGGTGCACGTAATTTCCAAGGATAACGAACGCGATGGTGTTAACCTATATGTCAGGGCTATCAGTTCCCCTTGCTAATTAATCTTGTCTCCGTACGTGTGGCGTTATCGATAATTTCGCAGGCAAGATACCGCGCCGATACGATTGACCAATGTCAAACGAGGCAATCCCACGATAGAGCACGGCCCGTTTCCGGTCATAATTCCGATTGTCAGGTACGTCACGTGTCAGCGTGGAAACAAAGCTGAAATCGAGCGTGGCCGCGCAAGCCTGGCAAGACGTCGATGAACAATGGGCCGACTCGTAAGACACACTTATCCATCATTCGCAGCTCGCGCCGCCACTGCCGCTGACAGGTGTTGTTTAATAGCTCTGCTGACCGCGCGTTTCGCAGCTGATACCTGTCACGCGCTGCTGTTTACTCAAAATGTCGTCGAACCGGAAACACTGAGGATTTTATTCGCTCCAGTAACCGAGCATCCTCGATCGGATTCGATCACGACGGGATCGCCCCTGAAAGTAATAGCGTAGTTAGTTAGCCCCTGTTCGAGGATTGGAGACTGTCCGAAGAAAGCGATTATTAACGAACGGGGAAGAAACGGGCTCGACCCTGACCGACCAATTGATTTCCCACTCGGGCAACACTCGCCGCTCGTAAATAAATCAGAGACGATTGCCTCCCAGCGCTGGGTAATTAACGTTCGAGCATCGATGGGACAACGAGGTAATCGGGAACATTCACTTTTAGTCGAGTGCTTTTACCGGTACTGGGATCAAATCGTTCATTGTAGAGGAAGACGAAGTCGGAGCCAGAGTTGCCGAGGAATTATCACGTCGTTGTTTTCGACGAGCGGTGGTACTCGATGACCGATTCTACGTTGTCGTTTGGTTATGGATTAAGATGCCAGCCAGACCCCGGTCGAATTCGTTCGTCAGGCCGCGAGAGTGTATTCGTGGATTTAGGTCGGTTTAGCGAACACGAGAGTGAAGGAGAGAGAGAGAGTCGACCAGCCAATCAAACTCCGGGGCCAGGCCGAAACACAGCCGAGCCTGAATTCCTTTCAAACACAGGCCACAGGCTTCCTATTCTGCGAGCGTAGTCCGCACGCCACCGGCCTGTGTTGTCTCTGTTTGATTGGTTTAAATGGCGCGGCAGCGACCACAATTCGACCGACTATCTGGGAAACGCTTTAACCAGCCGTGTTGCCTACAATTGAACGGCGCGCGTTTATCAGCGACGTTGACGTTACTAATCTTCGGCTGTTCCACTTTCTTCCGGGGAGAGCTGTTCGATCTGTCGGTACTTCACTCAGTTTCCGTTCACTCTCCCCCCCCCCCCTTCCGCCTCCTGTTTACTGCCCCTCTTTGCCACTCTCTAACTTGGTTCATCGACAATTCGTCGATCTAAATCTAATATCCGTTAGGTAGGAAGATTTCTCTCGATTTCTCTCTGTTCAAGAGTACGTAACACTTGTGACACGAATGTTCTCCGATCCAGCGTGGCAGATCAGGAATTTGACTACTTACAATTAGAAAATTCCAAAAATTTGGCCCAGTCTCAAGTACAATGAGGTCTTCCGCACCATAGTCACAGTTATATAGCTTTTTACATGCTTACTTACAGTTATAGTTTCTTACATCAGTAATACAAGTTAGTCAGTGATATATAATTCTTACATATAGCATTCGATCGATAGTTTTCATAATCAGTACAATACAAGTTAGTCAGTTAGTCTTCATTATAGTTATTCATTTCCTACATCAGTGGGTGGTCCTTCGAACTCTAAGGGATATACGCAAAGGGATATACACGATTTCTTTCTCTCGCAACTTGTTAGAATTGCTTTCGTTTTCGGTTTTCGAACAACATGCCTCGCGACGAAGCTGGCGAATCGAACGGAACGATCGTTGGCGATATGTTTGAAGCGTTCTGTTTGCCGACTCGAGTGCTCGTACTTACCACGTAGAGGCCTTGCAGAGCACCGAGAAGCGTGACCAGCTCGACGTTCTCGAAGCGGATGTCCGGTAGGAGGGCGAGCAGCGGACACCTGACGCCGGCCTTCAACGCTCTGTTCAAACGGAGGGATTCTTGGTTAATAATCGGTGGAACGAAGAGGGAGAAAACAAGGGGATAGCGGCAGAAGGCTGTGTGCGGCCGGTTGAAAAGGTGAAATTAACCCGCCCGGGTTCAATTATCCCCGGAAACGAAAAAGGAAATGATACATCAATGCCAATCTCGCGGCGGCGAAACGAGAAATCAAGATCGATCTTAATAACCGTCAAACCGCGATTGAAATCAATCCCTCGCGGAACGGGGGAATAATCCGCGATAACCTTCGTATTATCGAACCGACCAGTTGTTTTCCAAGATGAAAGAGAGGGGAAAGCAAATAAAAGGAAGAAGAAGCGAGCAACGAGAGATATTTCGGCGAATTTTCAAGCGAGGAAAATACGGAACAATCGTTCCCGCGTGGAAAATAAGGCGTGTAGGTATCCAATATATCATCGCGCCCGCGAGGCGCAATTTCCTCCTGTAAAATCCTGTCTCCCGTTCGACGCGTTTAAACTTCGGGAGAACGTCGCTCAGAATCAAGGAATCGCGACCAATATTCAGCCAAAAGTTATTCTTTCCTTCTCGTTTCACCTGTCAGGCTCGCGAGTATCGCCGGCGATGCGCGCGGAATTCCCCGCGACAGTTCCGCGCGACGATTCACCCGCCAGCTCGCGGAATTTCATTTTTCAACCGAATTTTCGAGACACTCGGCTCGCCCGGAATTTCACTTACCTCGCGCTCGCGCGAATACCAGACACCGTCTCGCGAGAAGATGGAGCGATACTCGAGATTTCTCACGGTGGATTTGCCTGATTAATCGCTTCGGGTTGGAGCGAAGATCGGTTATGAGAAATTAGGGGAGAGGAGGCTGGTAATGGATAGAATTAATTTATTTTTTCGCGGATGCGAGCTTCTTCTCACCGAGGACGAATCGATCGACGCCTGAGAAAATTAATGAGAGAAAGAGTGAAATCTTAAATAAATAAAAAAAAAGTAAAATGAAATCTTTTGTAAAATCAGTTAATTTTTGTCGATGTTTTAAAATAGTGTAAATACCCCGTGGAGGAAAAAGGAAACGTAAAACAACGCAACTAGAGAAATTTCTTTCACCGCGGTTATTTTGTTTCCTCTCAAAGATATTTTAATCTAAAGGGAAGTAAGTAAAAATACCTTTTCTCTCGAAAACTTTGCAAGTTCAAACATTTTCGTGGATACTGAAAACATTTCTTCGTAATTAAATCTACTTTCGTTTGCAACGAATTCTTATAAAATTTGTCGTACGATTCTCTTTTTCACGAAGTTAGTAAAGCGTCGACAATTTTCCAGCGAGTACAAAAAAACATTCTGAATGATTTATTTATTTGTTTGTTGCAAAATATAATCACGGTACAAATTTTCCTCGTAGTCGTGTAATCCTACTCGTTTGATCCTCGTCGGTCACTTGCCTCAATTTGACACATGTTTCTTATATAAATGTTCGTAAGATGTAATTGTAATCAAAAATGTTATTATTATTGACTACAAAATGTAATTATTTTGCAGCATGTGAGTGCAGAGATGATGTGATAATACACATAGTATATTAGAAAATAATATTCGCTTTCAAATCCTTTGACTAATACATTGTCTAATTATTTCGTCACAATTGCGCATTTTTCAAAAAATGCGAAAATTGTTATACTTTTATAAAATCCGAAACAAATGATTAATAATGGTACGAAAAAATCAGAGAAGATACAAAATTGGACATCCATGCGTGAATCTCGTGTGTAAATCGAAACTTAATCTGTTTACTCTTAATAAAAGAATTCCCAAATTCCTCTCATCGTGGTAGTTAATTTTTCTTTGCCATTGCGCCCATTCAACGATTTACGATTCAACGCCGAGTTGAATATAAGTTAAATTAAAAGAAAAAAAAAAAAAAAGAGAAATGGAGGGACGGACCAGGGTTGAACTTTCTGTATTTCCTCGTAGGATATTCGATTACTTCAGTCTCTGCGTTGACTATGATTCTTCCCCTCTCTGATCGCATTTATCTTGTTCGTTTGCTATTTCCTCGGCTTCTTCCGCTTGTATCTTCTATTTCCGGCCGGCGGTCAGGTTCTCATCTTCGATGGGTCGTTTAATCGACGCGGGTAATCCCTACCCGTTTCTGACCCGAGAGGGTGAGAGCTCGGTCGTTATCGCAACGTTCGTCGAACCTTGACGCCCTTGACGTTCATTCCGGTTCCGGCGAAGAAAACCCTCGATCATGAATATTTACCCTCTTCTGTGCCGCAGCTTCGCTTCATTCCGTATTTATCAAGCGAGAGAGACACTCGCGAATCAAGCGTGCCGATCGCCAGATATAGACGGTGGATCGATCCTCCGTTAAAAACTGATAGATCCGATGAATCATTCAGTCGACCGTGCACAGATAACCCTTCCGCTCGGAGTTTCGCGCGGGACCGTCTATTCCCAATGTGTGCCTGCCTGTGTATGTGTGCGCATGTATGTTATAAATATTCAGCAGCTCTATTTATCTTTCCTCTCCGCACGACATTCGTCATTCGCGAAACGAGAGAACTTTCCAATCGAATTGTTCGCAAACAGGTGTGGACCGGCTATTCCGTTTTCCATCAATTCCGCGGAGGAATTGAGAATTAACACGACACGGGTCGTAGATATCGTTGGTTACATCGAGATTCCGTGTTATCTTTGCAACTGGTTCGTATTATTATTAATAGTTGTAACGACGTGCGAAGGACGTGCAGGGGTCAGTGAGAGGTCGTGTCACAGGATCACGAGGTCATTGCAAGGGATCGATGACGGAAGGCCATGACCGACACGAGTGAAAGTCGAGGCCAATTTCTAGATGAAATGACCTCGTAGATCAATTTCAACGATGAAACGTATCTTCTGATCTTTCGAAGTGAGTCGAAGCTCGCAGTTCAGTGATCAGAGTACGCGTGACAGTGTCGTTGGAGAAGAGTCGTTAATTAGGTGCAAGGATCAAAAGCGAAAAACTTTTCTTTTTTTCTTTTTTCTTTCAACCAAAGTTGTTCGGCCGTAATAATTATGACGATCAAATCAGAATGGTCGAATAATTGGGAAAGGAAGTTTAAAGCAGCGACGTAGAACCGGCACACACGTGAGAGGATCTACGCGCTCGCGCGAAACTGGTAATCTGAAAATTCACGCGGCTCGTTAGGCGATGGTTTGTCGGTCAATTCGATTAACCAGCTTTCCTCGACGGACGTGCCCCCGCCGTCCTTTTTCCGCCGCGAGCAAACATTTTGATCCCGATCGGACAGCCGTGTCCACGGGAAGGCGAAATTAACCGCGTTATCACACGCGAGATCTCCTTCGTTATTCAACAAACGTGTAATCCGAGTTGGTCTAATGAGCCTGCACTTTGATCTCCCGCGTCAATTAAGCCGCGCAATTAATAAGCAATTAAGCGGTGATCAGCTTCGGGCAATTCGCTTGTTCTTCTTTTTTTCTTTCTCTCTTCGTACTCACGGGAAACGACTGATAGATAGATATACACTCGCCAGCTCGCCAGCTCCCGATCACTCCCACGCGCACGTGGGTTTGTCTCGAATTACCCCGTGGGATCAAACGTCTGATTTAAGCGGGTTTGTACACTTTGAGAAATGGCAACGATGCGATAACGCAGATTATTTGACAGAGCTGCAGCGTGCAACGTCAGAATATAGACGTGTATTGTAATTGGAGAATCGAGAATAGACTTCGTTCCAAGAATACTTGGTATTATACGAAATTGCGTAGCAAAGTTGTTAATCAAGCACTCGAATTGAAACGTTCGCAATAACAGAATCGCAACTTGCACGTTTCCATGACCACTCCGCCGATGCTCTCGCTCCACGTTGCACCGTAACAAGCTCGCGAATAGTTCTCGAACCTGCAAAAATATTTTATACACCTACTCCACTCCGGCTGAAGTTTTAGTATAGACGTTTCGGAGAACCACGTTTCGTGGAACTGCGAAGCGTCTATGGCAAAGCTTCTGCGAGCGCAGGTAAAAGGAGTTACTGTTAGCGAATTTGTTACAAGTGGGGAAAGCCGTGGATTGCTCGTAAAATGTTTGCCAAACGATTCGTTGGCAGGCGCACGCCTCCACGGGGTTTGAATATCAGAAAACAAACAGAGAACGCCAGAGATGCGTTTTAAGACATTCCAACTCGTCTCGAATAATATTAGAACGATTGAAGAATAATATTTGAAACGGTGTTTTAGAACTTCTACGAAAGTATTACTTACGTCCATGAGTATTGATTACGTATTGTCGTTTTTTGATACTGTACAAAATTTTATTTTATTAAAATGATTGTCGTTAGACGGCAATGTTTATTAAATTTGAAAAAAAAAAAAACGACATTATTCATGGGTATCCCTAATATAAAATTGTATCAAGTTACAATCTTTCGTCACGAGAAGACATATACATATATTTTACATATACTTATATATCCAGAATGAAACCATTGCTATCATTTTCTGAGGATTTCTTTTGTAAGAAAGGTATGTCTCAGAAACTAGTCAGATCTACTTCATTTCTAATATCCTAATAATTAAGTATAATATTGGGCGCAATAAAGTTCCACTACTTCCTAAAATTCCCCGAAAACTGGGACAGTGACTTATATAAATGTGACCCAGAATAAAAAAATGCAGTCAGTTTTCAAACTTCGTTCTGTTCGACCTAGAGTTAAACCTGATTAGCCTCATATATGTCGCTGTACTCAGAAACCATTTTCTCGGTTGTAACACGTCGATAATTTCCAACGTCGAATTGTTGCACATTTATTATTTTTTTTTTCTTTTTGGATTCACGTTCTTTCGCGACTCTCTGCATTAGAGTCAGTTTGCCTGTCGATTCGTTGATGCCGAGCTACATACGTACATTGCATCGTGACACTTAGAAATCGTTGCGCGCATCGCCGCGTGTTTCAACGTGTGTGGAGGGACGTTTACGAGAAAGATATAATTTCGACAGTGTTACCTTTCGACGCCTCTGGTGGCCGCCTCGGAGAAGCTGCGAACGTCATGATAATCCATGTTGAGCGGGCCGGTCGGGCTGTAAATGAGCCTTTTCGCGGGCAAATTGATGGGCAAAACCGCACCGATCACGCCCAGGGCGGAATCGATCTGGGCAGCGCTGAACAGCACCGTTTTGAACGGCTCGGGCTCGTCGAACCCCGGCGCACAACCTGACACCAGGATTATGCCGTCATAGTCCAAGCTGCAGATGTTCGGCTCGATTTTCAGCTGACACGGCATCCATCTGAAACGAATCGTTATCATTGTTAACCTTGCCCTTTCGCTAATTGTCGCTGTCCCGAGGCTCTACGAACGGTTATTCGCCGTCGATTCGCCACCGTCGTGTTCCTCCCTCATAACTCCTAAACAATCGACCGCATCGTCGACGCGCGAAACAGTCTCTCGATCGTTCTCACTTGGATGAGATTGGACGGAGGAGGCGGGTGCAAGTGGTCGAGTGAAAAGTTATTCAAGTTTTATTCCGTGGTGAATGGAGGATCAAATCTTCTGACGGAGAGATTTTCGCGGATAGAATTATTTTCAGAGGGTTAAGACTGGACTGGTTCGTGTCCACGGAAATCTTTGGACATTTTAGTCGCGGTATAAATTTGGTTTATATTGCCGGATAAGTCGAGATCGGCAGGCATTCCGTGCATTAGACTTGAGAACGGGGATATATCCAGATCCCAGATAGCTCGATTGCACCGAGGCGCGAGAAAGATCGCCGTTTGAATCCTGATGCGGCTAGCTCCTCTCTTGGAATTGGTGATCTTGGGGACGAGGTTCTCTCGATTTGAGATAATAGAATCACAATTGTGTCTCTTTTATAACGAATGGGCACTTTTAATGTTTAAATGAAGTCTTTTTCTATGCTATGTACGTTATTGTGTCAAAATCTTTTACGATGTGGTCAACGCCATGCTTGGAGTTTATAATTATGTTTGTAATTAACTTGTTTGTAATTACGTAAAAATAAACGGTCACATCTCAATTAGTCACTGCAATTACTTGTGTATTTATACTTTTCTCGTTTACTGCTTTTAACCTTAATTTGTATTCGTTTACTGCCTTTAACTTTATTTTTAATTTTTATTCATTTACTGCTTTTAACTTTATCTTCAATTTGTATTCGTTTTACTGCTTTTCAACTTTATCTTTAATTTGTATTGGAGCTGCCAACAACAAATCAGAGTAGAAGAGAGTTTTTAATAAATTTCCTGAGAATTGAAGGATTTAACTAGGTTTCGGGGAGGCTAATAATACAAGTGCCTGATAAAAAGATCCACGTGAAACCAAATAAAAAGAAATAGCAAAGGGATAGTAGATACTCGTCCAGAGTATTAATCGCAAGTTTTGATCTGTATTAAAAATATCAATGTACTTGTCACACTCCCTCAATTGAACAAGCAATAATCATAGTCCTTAGAGTGTATGTTATTTTAGTAAAATATTAACTTAACGCGTTGATGATTGCTACAATGATCATTGGTGTTGGCCGTTGTTTCTATTTCTATAAATATTTCAGAGCAATTAAAACGAAAACGAATTTCAAACAGCTAGATAACACTATAAAACGAGAAATGCGCTTTCGTGTAACATTAAATGTGAAATTAAATACTTCGTTCCATAGGCAAAACGTGAGAATTTCGCGTGTTAATCTCTCAAATTCCGAAAATGGCGAGAGTTTAATTCCCCTACTGGAGGTTTATAACTACCAAATTCCAAATTGTTCGAACATCTCGTTACTATTAAATCCATTATCTCTTTAACGTTTCGTAACTCCATACGAAATCGCAAGTTTCTGAAAAACAACCCTTCATTCAACCCTCTGACGGAGAGTCGAATGAAATGCGAAACTCGCGCTCGAACTGACACCTACTACACTGGAGGAAATTTCGCGAGAGTTCTCCGAAGAATCCTCCGGAAGTTCTCGCGACCACCGAGAGCGTTTCATCGCGAATTCGCGAATGCAACTTGCCCCGTCTTTAGAGAAGCATGCGTGTTAGATCGTGCAATCTTTGTTCTCGTTATCAATTACCAACCGCGTCTCGCGCCTCGTGGATGAGCCGCGAGCGTATATGCCGGAAATCGAGACACCGTCTCGTAAATCTCGCCTGAGAATTGTCGCCCTCTTAATCGAAATTTACGATGCTTCTCGCCTCATTATAAAATGACACTCGTTCTGATTCTCGACGCTTCAAATTTTGAAAATTGATTTTCGTTCTTCCAGAACGAAACGGATGTTTGCTCTTTGCAAGCTTCTCTAAATGAGAAGTTACTCACTCGGCGATAGTCATTCTTTCGCGCGAAGTTCCGTAATTTTACGTGTAAAGAGCGTGTCTCGAGACGTTGAGCGTTACTTTTGCTCGCTGATGAACGAAAGAAGGAAACGTTGAAACAAATATTATCGCTTCGATAAGGTTTTTAACGAGAGACCGATATACCGTGCTTTCGAACGGCATCGAATTGAAACATAAATTAGCTCCGTCAACGGAATTTAAGAGCTTCGAAGTTCATTAAAAGTCACTTAACGGCGAACTTTATCGCAGTTTCGATAACTCGAGCAACTTTCGATCGAAACTTCTCCCGGACGCGACTTATTCCTCCGCAAGAAATATGCAATTAGCCGTTAAAGAAGCGGAAGGGACGTTACAAAACAACGCTGTCTCCTTTTTAGCTGCAGAAAGTCAAATCGAAGCGTCGACATTTTTGCGGTCAGCGGCGAGTCGACGATTTTTACGGAAATACGCGAAACTGAAGGAAAAATACTCAGAAAATTACCTCGACTCCACCGCCATGATGCACACTGGTGGTAGCAACGTTCTTTGAAAAATAGGAGAGAAGAATTAGAAGATCTTTCGCCTCTTAGAGTCGACGATTTTCCCCTTGGTCGCGTTTCGAACTCCTCGAAAGTATCGTGGATGGAGAAATCACGAAGAGATGGAAGTGACGTTCCTCGACGTGAACGACAGACACCGAAAGAACTGAAATAATACCAGAAAGGAACAATGGATAATCGATCGGTGGCCTTCGTTGCCTCCTTCACGCTGAATATCGATCCTCCTTCGTTCGCTGCTTCTTTCCCATCTGCTCCTTGTCCTCGCGATCGATTTCTTTCGATGCTTTTACACCGACTACGCCTTCCTACGATTTATTTTTACAAACAATCGCTGTGCACTCGCGTAATTCCTCGTGGAACAAATCGCAAATCGTAAGTCTGGCGAGTTAACTTTTTCATCAGATCTCGAAAGACCTTCGGCGAGGAAATTTCAGTGAAATGCTTCAGACCTCGATCTCGATTATGTCCGTGATTCCGGAGATTTTACAAGGGACAGTGATTCTCCTGGCATGCTGGCACTTCCTCGGTGCATTTGCAAGTTTTATCATTTGTCGAAAGCGACGCGATCGGATCGAAGTACGAACGAGAAAGTCGGTCGATGCCGATGGTTTATGCACTCGACGCAGGACGCAGGCTGACTTCTAATCCAAATGTTTCACCGTGACTTTTCTATCGAAACGAGAGTTGCCGAGATGTGTCGAGAAATCGAGTCAATCGGTGATCGAGAATAGAATATTCGGCGGGCTTGGTATTTTCGGATCCGCACCTGGATATTGGGACCTCGGATATTTCCGAGTTCGGTCGGAAATTGAGCAGATTTGGTCCAAATCAAGGTAACCAAGTGATGTTTATAGTGTAATTTGCATGGTGCATTTACATACGTAGGTAAATGCTGCTATAGATTTTTTTTTAAATAATGTGTGCTAGTAACTTCTAAATGGAAAGGAGTTTCAATTCAAACCGGTATTACATTATAGATACTAAATATATGACGTTGTATGTATACACGTATATACAGAGTGCCCAATTTGTGTCTATAAATGCAATTATCTTCCCAACTACTTGTCGTTCGAAGAACTGTTTCAAGTTATTAACAACTTATTTTATAATTTCGCAAGTTAGTTTGTTTCTAAAGCAAAATTTTTTAAAACAGACTATTTTTTAAAATGGAATCACGTAATTTTTTTACATCGGTCGTTGCAACAGATCATTATATTTTTATGTTGAATAATTAATAGTTTAGCAGATGTTATAATTTTAATTTTGTAGAATCTATGTATAAAGAACAAAAACACTATGCATGCAAGAATGCTGCCCTTATCCTTCCTCTTCTTTCGTACGATAGATTGTATAAAATTAAATTGAAAATTTCTATTAAATTAACTCAATTTAACTCAAAACAGAGCAAACAGTTACGAAGATAATTGCTGTATATACACACATCGCGCCTATTTCATTCGTAATTAATGCTAGAAGTTAGATCATCGTCCTCGAGTCGCCTGAGCAGAATAATGAAAAAAAGAAGTCGCGCGCGCGCAAAGGAAAAAGAAAAGAAATACAAATCAAAGCGCAAAGTTCAAAAAGACTGAAGATCGACAGATGGGTGACTGAGGGAGGACAAGAAAGAAGAGGAAAAGTCAGTGTTCAACGTGACGCTTAAAAAAACGTGTTATATTTATATGGAAAAAAAAAAAAGAAACGAGCAGAAAATAAATATTCACAATATTTCGTACAGATCCATTCGATACTTTACATGTTGCACGGCATGTCGTGCTCGGTGCTGTTACGCTAGGCTACGTGTACTTGCATGTTTGTTAAAAAAATAACGCAACAATCTACGAGATATAAAACTTATAATATCATAGAAGACGAGAGGGATCCGCGAGACGGACCCCGCGTTCAATGTACGCACATGTGACATAATACATACAATTTGCGCGGAAACGTTCGTCGCGCTGTCATCACGCGCCTTGTTCATTCTCGCAACGAACAAGTGGTGAGTCACTCGTCGCGAGAAACTCTGACCTTAGGAATCCGGACCTTGCGCAATCCGGACGCGTTTCAACGTCCGCTTGATTCCTCGCAATCACATCGCGATTCAATACTTTCGTTACAGGCTAACGACGCAGCAGCGGGCTGCCTCATCCCCGGTGCTGCAGCAAATGTCAAAGATCGCTGCCTCTCTCGCGTCAAGCGCGAATAAGCGATGTAACGTCCTCGATTATCGAGAACTTGAACTCTAACACGGACGAGTGTATCACTTTTCCGTGATTCTGCTCCCGATCTCGTACGGTGAGTATTGTACGTATAACATACGTATATATGTATATATATATATATATACACATATATGGCAAATTGCGAAATAAACTATTTCGTTCGCAAATAACTCGTGATTTGACATTTTCGCCAAGTTCCGCGTACTGGAAACTACGTTTTCTTCCTTCCTAGGAAGGAGTACTCCGCGTACGATGCTCGCAGTCCTCTAAGTGGAAAACGAAGCTGGTCGACTTCGTCGAGTCTCGGTTAGATGCAGTTCTCCAGTGCAGTTAGCATTGCCGAACGAACGCCGCCTGTCAGTTCGCTACTCTACCCGAGACTCGTTCGACAAGCGTGGAAAGGTCGATCGAGGTTTAGTTCGCGCAACACGCGCGAACGCATCATTACCCAGAATTACTTCGTCTAACGTAACTACTCTTCCTAACGATAAGATACGATCGCGATATAATACCTACTATATATTTTGTAACGTGGCTCGACGAACATGGCTCTCGTTCGTGCCTACGTTGCTTTGTACTAGGCGTCTACCCTGTAAAATTGCGCGCTTGCTCGGCTAATTCGAGTAGCTGAAAGTAGCTGCGCGAGGATTGTACAGGACGATCAATAGAGGAAATATACTATACTAAATGATGCTCGGTGTTTTTATGATCATCGTCTGACTATATGTGATACTAACATAGAATTAATCGTTAAATTCAAGTGCAACTACGAAAGGGGCAATTCGCTCACTCTGCACACACACACATACGCAGGCTCGTCGACGCAACGATGTTCGAAAAGATAGCGAAGTGGAAGCGAGCCGCGACTCTCGGAAATATATGCATACGATGGAGCGTCGTGATCGCGTTTCGAACCACCGAACAGAATTTCCTCTCTCTCAGAGTCTCGTACCCTTGCTGACCTCGTTGGTTACGTCGAGCGAGACGTTCTTGAGAGCGTTGAGCTTCTCCACGTAACCGATGTCAATGCGAAGCTTCCCATTATCATCGACGATCCCTTGGAGAGTCTTTTCCGTGCCGTTCGCGATCGAGGTCACCGACGAGGAAGCAGTCGCGTTCGCCGCGTTCTGCTCGTTCTGCAACCGGGTGCTGCTCGCGTACAATCTCCGTCTTCCCGGCAACAGTCTAGAGATTTTCACCGCCAGCGGATGAAGCAGGTGTTCCTCGTACATGTCGCACTGCGAATCGGCCGTCAACAAGCTGACGATTATGCCGACCAGCACCGTCGACACGCTCCCTATGAACGCGTAGTACATGTACGTGACGCTGTACAAATACTCGAGAGGGCCTAGAGCAGGTGTTTCCTCGGTGTTCGCCAATAGAACGCTTTGGTTCGTCCCGGTGACGTTGAGGGCAGCGAACATCGAGCGGCCTGGCTGCATGATCCAAGGTGAGAACGTGTCGTTCTGACAGTTCTCCGTCGACAGAGACAACGTCTCCACGTTTTGCATGTTGCTGACGGTCAAGTGGCCGAAGGTTATCCACAGGGTTGTCACGTGGCTGAAGATCATCCCGGCAGCGGCGCCCTTCCAGTTGGCGCAAGGCACCAACATGGCCAGCAGAAAGACACCGAGCAGCGGGCCTGACGTGGCCGAGGTCATCAACATCGACGACTCGATCACTCCCGAGAGCATGGCCACGAGGAAGCTGATGCCTATTATCAGCACGCCGTAGAGAACGCTGATCACCTTGATGAAATGCAGCTGCTGCTTATCCTTCAAGCCTCGGAGCGCGGGTATCTGACCGAGAAAGTCCTCGAACGTGACCGTGGCCAGAGAGTTGAGATTCGACACCGCCAGTGTGAGCGCGCTGTTGAACAGAGTGGCCATCACCAGACCCAGCAGACCTGGAAAGTTGAGGAACTTGTCCTCCACGTAGAACGGCACGATCTCGTCGAATTTCGAGATGTATCCTAGCGTGAGCGGATCGCAGTCCGCGTAGTTGGCGAAGATCACCATGCCAACCACCCACGACAGGGAGAACAGGATGAAGATTATCGGCATGTTGGCCAACATGGTTCTGAAAGAAGAGATAGTTGTTCTGTTAGAAGATACGAGAACGCAGAACTTTCCTGTACCTTGAGGTACATAACGTTGCAACCAATATAGAGGCACAATAGTAAAGAGATCCTGTTGGAATGAATTTATTCATAACTCGTCGTTCCATCGATCGCAACTCCCTGTGTTCTGTTCTACCGGCGACTCTAGAGCAAAACCGATTCGGAGTAGATCCTAACAGCAAAGAACGTACGTGGTGTTCTCAGATACGTATAAAAGCTCGACTTGCTACCGCTGATCTTAGCTAGGGGAGGAGTATCTGCTGCCAAGTTTGGCTGGCTGCCATTTAACCCCGGTCTGGATGCCAGCCGAAGGACTCATTGATTATGTGGTAACGGGAAGTGCGGACAGAATCTCGCGAATCAGAAAACGCTGAGGGTTCGAGGCGAACTGCATGAAAGTCTGCTCTGCTCGCGAGGACCTCAGCGACTCTCCGGACGTTCATAAATTTGAGGATGGTTTATCTCGCTGGGTTCGTATGCATTATCGCGACAGGTACACAGAAAATGAAGAACGAAACGAGGATAAGATAGGATAACATGAGCCGTTCACTTGCCAACTTCACTTTTTGAACTTTTTTAAAATCTTAGTGTCAAAGCACTTGATCGACTCGTAATTGACTTTTTCTGTTCGAAATAAATTTCCTTAATAATTAGATTATTCAATACTACTGAACCATGAATACCACCATGTTTCTGCTTTTTGAATTGTGAATAATTAATTTATTTCAAAAGCCAATTGGATTAACTCCATACTCTGATGCAAATCGTTGCGATAATGTAATTTAAATTTTGTATGAATTTAAAATAATACAATATGAAAATATAAAAATCCAAATTATTTTTCAAACGATTGGCACGATATAATTGAAATCAGTGAAAAGAAGAACCAGGACTTTTCCTCAACAAAGATATTAGAAAATTCTATCAGTAATAGAAAAGTAACAGTCGCGGGATTAATAAATTCAAACATGATTTGAACGAAAATGCAGAATTTAATTAACATTAATTAAATCATAAAGTCTGTATCATTAATTTTTTTATAAATAAAAATTTTTTACAAATTTTTTTATAAATAAATCTAATTACCATTAGAAAATTTATATCATAGACACTAGTTCTGATGTAGACTAGTCTTTGTTATATTCTAAAGGCAGAACAGTGACAAAAGAAAAGAAAAGAGACACGATGGATTCAATTCATGAAAATCAATGAAATTCATTCGTCGTACATAATTATTAATTAATTCATGATCATTAAAACATGATTATTAGAGAAATTTAAGAATGAATCGAAACGATGAGCTTCTCGAATGTATGGGATGAAGCGTATATTATTATTTACGTTGATGATGATTCAATTTAACGACAGTAATTTAACGATAATAATTGTGCTAATGACGGAATTATTATCATTAATTTGTTCTAAACATCTGTAATAAACAGTTTTTTTGAAGGTTCAATTTGATGATATTATTTTCTTTTCATTTTCATTTTTCACGAATCAATTAACTCTCTTAGTCACGCGAAATGTTGTAACTAATAATAACAATTATTCCAAGTATATACTATCACACATATTTTACATTTCGTTGGATGAAATCCAGGCTTGTAATAATACATTGTAATAATATACTCTACAGTGTTTTTTTTTTTTTTTTTTTTTTTGAATTTATATTTTAAAGGGAATTTCAAAAAACAATGTGTACTACTTTGTCACTTTTCTCCACTTCTTTTCTTTTACGGAGTTGACATGCAAGCGGCTCTAATATCGTTGATTTTCAGAAATTTCAAACAGTGACGCGTTCTTAAATGAAACAGCGAAGCCGTTTCTACGACGAGAACTCTATGAAAGCGCGTAATCAAGCGACAAATCGTCGGTAGGTTCGCGTCAAATCGTTGGTCGGACGCGATAGTAAATACAAAAATCCATACGAGGAGAAACATTTTTCCCTCCCCCAGGGGAGGGAGAGGCGCGCAGCCACCGGTGCGATTATATTCTAATAAAAGTCCATTTTCGGCCGAGCTTTCTATCGCGGTCGCAGCGACGCGTCGCTCTCCGGATTTATGCTCTAATAAAATGTCCGCGAGCGCGGAATACCGACACTTGTCCTCGTCGATTTTTCGTTCGGAAAAGTGAAAAAATAAATTGTCTCTGAAGTCGGCCGTTCGTTTGTTTCGCTTTTCCACAGAGACGGCTAACGCTGAGCGGATCGGTTACGCTTTTCACGAATGTCGCGTGTCATGCCATTTCGATGGCGGAACGTCAGCAGGAGAGGAGAGAAGAGATCTTCCCGAACAGCCGCGTATTCTCGCTTTCCAGCAAGTGACTAGATGATTCTCTTTCTTTTTTATTCGAAGGCACAGACGAAGAGAAGATTGCAAATTACTTTCGACGGAGAAGGGAACATTGCTTTTCATCATTCGCGGGTGTTCGTCGATGAAAATCAGAATTATTGCGTCGCCGACTGAAAAGGAACGCGCGCGGTTCTTAAACAGCAGCGAGTACGTCTCGATCTCATCGAGATTATTTGCCATACATTCTTTTTTCTGACTCGTGAGCGATTCTGTCCGAGTTAGAAAGGCTCTTTCTCGTCTGTCTCAGCTCGACGAGCACAAACGCGAATATTGCCGTCTGTCCTGCATATCGCTGAAGAAAGACCGATTAGCGAGTAATCATAAGTGAAAAAAAAAAAAAAATGGTCAGAGAACAGTAACAATTTGCATAATGCAAAATGACTGCACGGGTTGTTACGCGCACTCGTGTTACTGGTTGATAACAACAAGATAACTAACGGCTAGGCGAAAGTTGCGCGTGACGATGAGTCATCTCGCCACTCGTGATTGACCTTTTAATTAGAGTCAGTCCACGATCATCTCGAGCGATAAACAAAGAACGGAACAAATGTAACGAAAAAAAAAGAAAAAAAAAACAGGAAGTGTACAAAGTGAGAAACAAAGAGAAAAGGAATTAAAAATGTAACTAGGAAGAACTAAGGAAAGAAAAAGAAAAGTAGACACGACCGATCAGACAGAGTTCCTTTCGACATCGTGCCCGTCAGGATTTCCCTGTCTTTCGTCTAGCTCCAGGCGAAGCAGTCACGAGATTCCTCGTACACATCAACTAAGTGATCGTCAAACTTTCGTCTCGCACTTTTGCCGCCTCGATTCCAAAGAATCGCAATTCTCATTCGTTCCGCGAAGATATTAAATCAAATTAATTCTGTGACATGCGAATTTCTTCTTTACTAGCGATTGCTTCGTCGAAGTAGATAACGTTTAGAATATAATAAGATGCAAGTGTACCAAGTATGTAGAAAAATATTCTTTTATATCCTTATATCCTATTAATAATCTGCGACCGTCTCCTAGACGTTATTGAGGTTAAACACGTGGAATTTACTCTCTCTCTCTTTTTTTTACCTTTCGGTCGAACGAAAGCTCCTTCTCTCGTTGAATTTTAATAAACGTTCCCTCTTGCGAAGAACCTCTTCCGAGGCACGGATTCAAGCATAATAGTGTTATCTAGGCGACACTTGTTTACATATCTGTCGCGTAAAATGTTAATTCGGTGCGTGCCACCGAAGCTCTGTCGGAAACTTTTCTATTCACGTTTTGTCGTGGACGTCGTGCAATTTCCCGCGGAAATTGCAGAAACATCGAAATTTTTATTCGAGGTTGCGACACGAGATTTGTAATCTCGCTCGAGGATTTTGTTAGAACAGGCCGGATGATCATGAACAGGCGAGTTTCTGTTGAGAATGGCCTGCAAGATTTCAGCGAAAGAGATTACTCACTTGACGACTTTTCGTTGACTCGTCATGCTGCAGTATCGTTGCACGAAGTTCTGCTGGCAGCCGAAGATGGACAGGCTCATGAATAATTGGCCCAAGGTTGCCGACAGAGTCGTCACGCGGAGGGTGGGATCCAAATCTGTGCTGAAACCAGAGATTCGGTTCGATTAACTCGAGAGAAATTCAAATGCCGCCCGATCGAGAGCGGTTCTCGTTGTCAAAATAGCCCGAACGTTTGCACAAACTCGACTCGGTGATTTCGGCTAATTCGCCTAGGAACCCCTATTCATTTCCGCGGTTATAAATCGACTTTTACTTACTTTGCCCCTTCCGCTTACATTGTCCCGTCTCGCGAGACGAATCGTTTCGAGTTGGAACTACGCGACGAATGTTTCGCAGCCTTGTCGCTGCTCTTAAGCTAGCCTTTGCTATATCTTTCACGGAAGATCGGTAATTCAAAGCTAACGCTGAAGTTGAATAAATTTAACGTAAGTAAGTTAACGTGAACGAGAACAACAAATTCTTTCAGATCTTCCGGGTTTCATTGGCCAACAAAAGTTTGTCGAGGGTCGCGCATAGTTTGCATATTCTTTTTATCAGTTCAGTGTAACTTGTATTACTTATGAGAATATTAAAACGACTTTTAATTTAAAAAATATGAAAATTTTTAGTGAGAACACTGAGCTTGTTTTTTTTTTTTTTAGATATCAGTTCATCAATATCCGATTTGATACAAGTAGTGGCAATACGAAGAGTATTTTCAAGATTCTTGTCAATAATTTTTCTTCTTATTTTATTTTTCTGTGTGCTTCGTATGAGAAAAAATCTGTTTGCAAATATAAATCGTAAGCATTCGTGGTTAAAGTTATTCAAATAATAAAATTTTTATTCAACTATCACAATTTTGGTTATACAGCGTTTTTTAAAATAAAAAGTAATCGCAGTTTTGTGCGGACGATTTTGTACAAACGACTTAAAAATGATTAGTGCCGTAGACATAATTTTCTTATCGAACTCATCAACTCAAGCGACAGCCGTGCAATAAATATTATATAAATATCGCAATAATTGTATAGTTATTATGCCAATTGAAGTTCCGTCGACTGACAATTTCAGCAACAACAGAAAATCTGTACGATGCAAATTGTTTCCAACGTGAGTTAACTTTTCGAGCTGTTCGCTGAAATTCGAGTCAAATTCTGACACTCGTTTGGCGCCTTGATTACGTTCGCGAGATCGTCGATAAAATAAAGTCTGCGAGACTCACGTGACTCCGATCACGTTTATTGCTCGCCGTTCACGTTCGGAGAGAGATTGAATCACAATCAGGTCAGTGTTGATACTTACTTGAAGAAATCCAATCGGCCACGTTCGTACGTCACGTTTAAAATCTTATCGGGCCCGATATCAGCAGATCCTTTGGCGATTATCACCAGCGAGACGCCAATCATCGTCAGACCTTGTATGACGTCCGAGAGGATGGCTGCTTTCAAACCACCCTGCGAAATGAAAGTACCAATTTTTCTCTCTCTTCGTTCTCATCGTTCGTGGTTAAAGTTGAATGTAGTAAAGTAATGAAACTTTTATTCCAGTTATTCCAATTTTGATCATACAGCATTTTTTAAAGTAAAACGTAATCGCATTGTTTGGGCGGATGGTTTGTACAAACGACTCGAAAATGACTCGTGTCGTAGATATTTCCTAGTTCGAAATTGCTCGTAGCAATTGGCAGAAGAAAATCGTGGATCGCGTGGACGATTACGTGAATCGGGACGGGGAACAATCCGAGCAAGGCGATCTAAGCAAAGGGGGACATTTTCACGCTCTCGCGTGAAATGATTCACGATCGCGCGTGTCGTATTTACGATCATCTCGAGACCGGAAGCCGAGACGGAAGCAGCGTGATCTTTCGGTTCGCGAATAATTGATGAGACGAAAACGTGGCGGACGATTTAATCGCGGGGACGATTTAAATGTCTCAGGCTTCGACGGCGCGTGGGAAATCGTCGGTTTCTCGAACGTTTTTCTTTCTCGCCGCCGTCGTTAGTATGCCGGGACTCTTGTTAGTCAATGAACTTTTGTCCCCCTCTCTGAATGAATATTTATTAGGTCATAAGTAACGAGTCGAGTTTTAAAATAAAATAATGGAACTCGTCACTTCGCTCGGGCTTTCATAGAGGAAGAATGGAGGGCTTAATAGAAAAGTAGCAAACAATTGTAGAAAACGAAAGGAAATACTTCGGTGGATCGGGATTTTATGAATATCGCTATAACCTGCACGCAACGTTTCTTCTCCAGCCTTTAAACGTCACACAGGCGTTTCCGTTGTATCGTGGCGTAAAATTGTAAGTTTCCATCGGATATTTCGCGCGGCGTTTGCAAATACCATTCGCTTATTCCATCTACTCGTTATCAACAGAAAACATAGCTTCTCGTCATTTCACATTTTCCCCGATTGTCACTCGATCACTATATTGTGACTGTGACATCAAACTTGCGTAATTGGATATACGAGAGTAAATACGATCTGCTAAATAACATTTAAGTAATGCACTTTGCTATTGCGAAATTTAATGCACTTAAATCTGATCAATTAATATGCAAAATGATTCTACAGTTTCGCGCGCAAATACAATTTTAAAAAGTCACTGAAAATATTTCTCGTACTTTGAAATTCTTTGCAAGTGCACTAACTACCTTCTGTCACATTATTTCTTATTTTTAGCTAGTGCAATATCTGGAGAAAGAGTCACGTTGCTCACGAGATGACCCGATACTATATATAAAATGACGCGATTTGTCTTCGAGAATACTCAGTTAATCTTTCGTTGATTTCACGACGACACAACGTTTAACGTTTCTGCAGAGCGATTACGCGAGTCTTTTAATATTGAGAGCGTGGCACTTACCATAACGCTGAAAACGACGGATATCGAAGTGATGCCAAAGATACTGGCCCAATACGGCAAGCCGATCACCGCCTTCAATGCGACGCAAGGCGTGAATATCGTGACGGCCAAGTTCAACAGGCTGCGTATCACGTAAGAGAAGCTTGCCAGGCATCTGACTAGCTTCGAGTTGAACCTAGGTGAATTAGCATAATTACAAAGAGGTCTATTCAAGAGGCATGGCCGGACATGATCGTTAAACGCGAGAGAGCAGTGTCAAGATTCGTGGAAAAAGAAATATCAAATCGTAGAAGCTGCTTGAAAGAAAAGTTTAGAACCGCGCGCGTTTTTCTTCTGGCAAAAAATGGAGAAGCGGAAAAAGAGCGGGGAGAAGGTTGTAGACGCAACTCCGTGGCCTGGGTAGACCCCAGGCAAATTGAAAATGTAAAGCAGCCTTGTTTAGGCGAAGCAAACGACGATATCGAGCTTGCCGAGCTTGTCGCTCCTACACGGGGAATTGAAATTTTCCCCGTGATCCGTCACGTGTCCGCCGTGATTTCGATGCGAAACCTCGAACCGGGCACCGTGGCGTTTCTTATTTCGGGGGCGAGGAGGTAAAGCTGATGCCACGCTTGGTATTCCGCGCAGACGAGCCGGGAATCTATTAACTTCCCCGACCTTCGATTATTTCCGCTGTGTTTTCGAAACTGTGAAATTTGCATGAAATGGATACGCGACGGCATCGAATTTTCCCTCGACTGAAAAAAACGACAACAAAAAAAAAAAGAAAAAGAAAAGAGAAGGAAAAGCTCTCGAGATGCTCTCTTGCGGGGAATTCGAATTTCACCATGGCACGGGGGAAGAATACCGGTGGTAGAATGGTTTGCATGGACGTTGCATTTTCCCGCGAACACACCGCGGGGAGATTTCCAAGAGATAATTACCTCATATCTAGGTACTGATAGACCGACGTGATGCCGAGGCTGTAGTACACCGGGACGAAGATGAAGCACACGATGGGATACGCGAGCAGCATACCGTAGATGGTCTCCCACATGGCGCTGCCTCTGTAATAGAGCTCCGACGGATAGCCGAGGAAGGATCTGACGCCGAGGGTGCCACGGGCGATGGACAGCATCATGGCGCCCATCGAGACGTTCCCGGTAGCGAACACGTAGTCCGCCTTGGTGGACTCCTTTCGACGACCCCGTAGCTTGCCCCATAGCGGGATGACGAACGAGGCGATGATACAGCCGACGAACACCAGGTAGTCGATCACCATGGACGACGCGTTGGTCGTCATCCTGGGCTCTCTTGCGGGGCCGTTTCTTCCTTTATCCTCGACTCCCTTTCGAAGCTACCGAAAAATAAGAACGTGCCGACGTTACGGGCGTTATGGTTCGAGCTTCTCCTGAACGACTTCGTGTTTGACTCTGTCCGCGGAACGAGAGTCTCGAGAGCGAGTGTTCCGTTATGTTTACAGGCGTCGCCGTACGATTGCTCACCGATACGCCGATCAATGAGTCGATCGTAAGTTAATAAATAGATACGACCGCTACACGTCGAAACCGAATCGAATTGAATTCTCTCTCTCTCTTTCTCGTCTATCGGAGTGATAGCGGATACGGACGTGTTCCGACGTTTTACAACGTGATGGTACACGTGCACGTGTTGATCGCGGATCAAGCGAGTGCGAGTGGAGATAGCGAGTTTGCGTCGCGTTAGCGATAGAAGATCGATGCGATCGGAACGGCGGCGCGTACTCGGACTGAACGCAGTCCGTAAACGACTACTCGTTATTATGTTCGGGACTTGGAGCGAGACGGAGCTACTCGCGGCGATAGCGCGACGAACATGGACTCGAGACTATCTTCCGGCAAGCGGCGGGGAAAGGGACGAGGGTAACTAACACCAGTGGAAGGGACTAGTAAGACGCTGGTTAAAGCTTTTTCTTATCTTGTATCGCTCAATTGTTTATCGGTGTTTGCACATCAAGCGTTAGGCCCCTCTGTTTGTACACGCGGTGTTATTTGCATACCGTGTCGATTCGACGCGTGTGACGATTACTCTGAACTTACGCCGCCGTTGTTTTTTTCTTTTTTTTTTTTTTTTTTTTTTCTTTCATTCATTTTGCTCCATCGAGCGACAGCAAAAATGATACTTTTTCTGTCTATGCTAATAAAGATAAATAAATTTCTTTTTTTTCTAGAAAATTAGCATTATCAACCACTTACGCTGGCAACTGATTGTGGACTATAATGAGTGATCGTATACAATAATTCGTCGCTTTCTTTTTCAACTCGTCGGTATATCACTGGATAGAAATTATTGAGAAATAATAAGTTTATTATTTATTTTGCTTATTTTGTTTTACTTAAATATACTTAAAGCTGAGAAAATATTACAGTTTTGGAATAAAAAATTCTCGACATGCGTGGCGCAAGAGGTTAACACGGCGTATTAATAATTTCGTCTAAACAATTGATTTTTTTTTTTTTTTTGACGCTCGTGTAAATCAACGTGAACCGGGTATATTGCCGATATATTGGCATTTCGTTTCGAAAACCGAAGATTTACATAACTCTATTCATGGGTTAGATAAATTATATTTCAGAAATTAAAAGAGTAAAGCATTATAGCGATTATATTAGCTCAATAATTTCTGGAATGGTCGGAATTTACGAAGAAAGAGAAAATCATCATTAAAACTTCGGTGATTTTCATTCCACGAGCAGCAAGTGCCTCGACATGTTTCGCGAAACATTTGCCTCGAATTACCGCGAGTGAAATCATTAGCGGTCTAATTGTGATTGAAGTGACAAGAGAAAATGAAAAATTGAGTTAACGAAAAAACGTATATCGTGTACCGCGACGCGTCGATCGCAAAGAAGGAAGTTGAGTCACTCTGAATTTCCAGATAACGAACTGTCGTTAGCATAACGCGTGAAAATGTGCACGGCGAAACGAAAGAAAAAAAAAAAATACTTGGAAAAACTGAATCCTACGAAAACGTTCCGTGAACCTGGAGAAATCGCTTCCTTCGACATAAACCACTTTCCTATCTCGCCACAAATTTCGTCTATTCTTTCGCGTCATTGTCTCTACCGTCACTTTTGTTCTCGTAGAAGCAATTTCGAATTGTTTTCGAGCAAAGAAAAAGAAAAAAAAAGAAAAGTTTCTTCGAGAAGAAATTCTCTCCGCTAATTTCCTCCAATAATGACGCTTAGAGACGCGAATTCGAGTTGCGTGTCCCGAGACTTGACGAACTCGCCATTGTCTCGTTGATTTCCCGAAAATGGGGGAAATATATTCCGTTGGACGTTGCGTTCATCATTGGGCGTACCTGCGTAGTACGCGCGAATGGAGTCGGGCCTCGAGTCTCGTTTCCCGCAGTTACAATGCGAAATCAATTGGAGGCTATTTATCGTGCCGCATTTAACCCATTTCGGCCGTGCGATCGAACGGACGACCGCTGCTCTCCGCGGGGAATATTTCGTATACGGGTCAGGAATTCTTTGATCGACGAGATCAGTCTATTTGACAAGACAGCGCGAATTCATTTACACTGAGACACAGACTTGACAAGCGCCAGACTTACTTACGATTAGTGAATCACTTTGCGAAAATACTCTGCAGAGAGAAAGAGAGAGAAAGGTCAATTTCAACCGGTTGGAATTCCTTTTCGAAGGAAGAATGGCTACGCGCGTATTATCATAATTCCTTTGTGTTTTCCGCATTATATTTCTGCAAACAACGCGTCAAGACCGCCTTTCGCGGCGTTTCGAGCGTTACAGCGTTATCGTGAATCTCTGCTTTTTTCCCCTCCGGATCCGCCTCCCTCGTGTTCTCCAGCGATCGGGTATCATTCGCCGAAACATCATTCTGCGAATTATGCAAATAACGATAGAGCATACGTGCATACGTGTAAAACAGCCGGATTCATCTGCTCCAGTTCAGCTGATACGCCGGCCTCGGTGTCATAAATAAGGCAATAAATACAGCGGCTGGCATGTGACACACGAGCCACTTGTTTTCTGCGTGCATATCGAAACCCGCTCGCCGTGACAATTAATCCAACAGCGATCGACGAGAATCGTCGGCCGGACGTGCGCCGCTGGAACAAGGGACTGCAAACCCTGATGCATCGTCGTCCTTTGGCGGAACGAACGTTTGGGTCAACGATCCAGCTACTACGATCAACTTTCTAAACGCTAATCTCCATCTCATTTACGTCTGTCTCGCAATCAGCTTCAACAATCGAGTTACGCGTGACCCTGAAACTTCTCGTCTTTTATTTCTCTCTCGTCTCGTCATTTCGTTCGCGGACGAAAGACCTCCATTTTAATCTTTTCGATACTACGCAGCGCGATCGCGCTGTTCATACTCGAGTCGAATAGCGTTTAATAGCGTTTGCTCGCGATTTGCTCAATGTATGTTGAATGTTCTCGATTTTTCGGTTGTCGTCATATTGTAACTTCCTCTCCTAATTGCTTCCTTTTCAATTAAACCTAAACCTAAATTGCATAAATAGGCAATTTTTACTTCATCTACTTTTATTAAGTTGCTTGTTATGACATTTTTCGTAGCTACATCGCATCACGTGGCACTGTTCAACACGGTTTTTTAATCGTTTCAGTGCCATAGAGCGCGATCGCGCTGTTTAGACTCGTTTGGTCACAATGTTCAGCGTGTGTATGTTGAATGTTCTCGATTTTTCGGTTATCGTCATATCGAAGCTTCCTCTCCTGATTACTTTCTTTTCAATCAACCTAAACCTAATTCGCACAAATAAACGATTTTCACTCAATCTACTTTTATTGCGTTGCTTTCTATGGCATTTTTTGCAGTTTTTCGCGCCGCGTGGCACTGTTCAACACGATTTTTAAAATCGTGGCGCTCGTGGCGCTGAAACGGTTAATGCTTTAATCGCTCGGCTGGAAACCACGTCGACAAAACGTCCCCGTGAAATCACAGGGGAGGGAACGAGTTACTTGTGGGACTGGGAGCTGTGTGGAGCAGCCATCGTGAAACGCACAGCGTCGCAGTCAATTTCATTCGTCCGTCTTCGTCGTCGTCGTTCGCCAGGTGTATCGGGAGAGCCAGCCTTCTCCCTGTGCGAACGTCACAGAATGTCTGCCTTCTACTTATGTTGGACGCGTGACAACACCCAGCCATGCCGCCTAACTCGCGGAAATTTCCTCGGAAAAATTCTAATTCGCCAACGTCTGGCTCGTCCTGTTCTCCCTGTTTGCTCGCGGTAGCAAGTCTCTCCGCGCTCTCCGCGCGGGCGTGTGTACGTGCGAAGGGAACCAGACGAGGACTTATCGCCGCGTTTTTCAGCGACCGAGAGATTCAGGTCGAGGACGTAATTAGTTTCGCGAGGTGTTGATTGTGTCTCAAGGTGCACTCGAGCGTTCGCAATATAAAGAACGACGGCGGCACCGAGACAGTTTCCAGAATATTAAGCAGCGAGGCGCGATGTTGTTCGATCGTCCCGTCAATTTGTCAAAAGTGTGTAAATCCTGCGTCCGCGAGGATTCCATCCTCTTCGATCATTTTTCCGTCAACGAACCGTTCCGACCAACGTGTCACGGACGTGACGGATGTGAATTTTACGTGAGCCGATTAGAACACGCCTTCGACTGGCGTTCAATGGCTCGTCACGTGGATTCTCAATAACGTAATTAACTAGCGCGTCAGCAGTGTCTCTTCGTCGAAGACGCGGGACGAACGGCGCATAATTACCGAGTAATACTGTGCGACTGTGCACCGGGTCGACGTTACCAACAACCAGAAACTTGCAGCTGTTTCTTCCATAGTTTTCCGCTCTGGCGTCTCACGGGGCGTTGCCTCCGTATCGCTGTTTGTTACTCGACGCGAATCCCGGGACAATGCGGGTCGCGGAACGTCAAATGTTGACGGAAGATTCGGGCGACGCTGGTTGTTTCTGGTCGATGATGACGCTAACGCTGCAGGGACTCTTTTGTATAGCGCACTTTGAAACAATGAGCCCGTAGCCTTTCCCTTTTCCACTATCACGTGGTGTTCTCTGTCCGTCTGTCGCCCTGTCCTCTGTCCTATCGCTCTTCGACGTCTACCTTCTGGTGTAGAATCTCACCCCTTTTGTCGTAAAAACCTCTTACATTTCGCCGTGCAGAGACCAAGGAAGACTTTACACTTTCCGATAAAGTAGCATCCCGCGCAGCGAGCAGTCTTCTTTTTCGTGCTCGTGCTTTTTTCTCGCTGCTGTTGAACGACCGATTTTTTCCCTTTCTTTCTGTTTTTGTATAATCCATGTCTTTCGGGAAATCTCGAGAGTACTTTGGAAATCGAGGAAGAATCTTAATCCGTTCCGTG